CCTTCACCACACGCACCGTGCAGGGGTCTTGTCTCTTGACCTTCCAGCTCGCCTCCCACAGCCTCCTCCAGGAAGCTTTCCCGGAACCCCAAGCCCAGCCCCTGTGTGCCCCTCAGTGTGCTCCCATGGTGCCGGACTTCACCAGCACATGAATTGTAATATGTTGGGTTCTGCCTTCCTCAAGACACTGAAGGTCCGTGAAGGGCAGAGACTGCCCCCATCTTTCCCACCACTGTATTTGTTTGCATTCTTTACCAGGCATGCGGTAGGTGCACAATAAATACTGTCAAATGCCGTTGCTGAATCTGTGTCCATCCTGGCCACCAGAGTGGGAGCTCTTTGAGAGAAGGGCTCCTGTCCTGCTTATCTCTGTGTCGTGGGACCCAGCATAGGGCCTGGCACCCAGAAGGAAACTGTGAGTGTTTGTTGAATGAATCTGTAAACAAAGGGACAAACCAATGCCACGTCCCAGTCAGGGCAACGGAGTCAACAGCAAACCCAAAACTCTATTCTGAGGCTGTGAAGGGTCAGCGACAGGGGGAGTGAACACGTGGTCCCAGGCTGTGAGTCAGGAGGTGGCTTGCCACAATGCTCTAAGCCCAGATTTAAGTCTACTTAAAAGATAGCTGAGTAAGATTCTGGAGTTTAATGAATACTAGACCGAATTAGTGATTTCTTCCCAAAAGCCCATTTCTCCAGTCTCTTCCCCACCTCAGGAAATGGCCCCTGGTCCAGCCAGTGGCTCAGGCGGAAAAGCTCAATGGAACCCTGATGTCTGTTTGTGTGCCCCAAACGTCAGCAGGCCTGCTGGCTCCTCACAGGACAGCCTCTGACTCTCCTGCTTCTTCCATCTCCACTGCAGTTGCTCAGATCCAGCCACCACCGCCCTGGAGCATCACCTGGACCACTGGGGCATCTTCCAGAGGTCTTCCCACCTCCTCTCCCTGTCCACTCAGCAGCCAGAGAGGTCTTTAAAAACCAGTGAATCCGCTCATGCTACACCCCCTTCCTTCAAGCCCTCACACGTGTCCCGTCAGACAGCGAATCAAATCCGCACTCACTACATTGACTCCCCCAGGCCGCCTACACCTTGCCGGCCTGCCTCCGATATATCACCTTGTCCCATGTCCCATCACTGGTTTGGGCCAAGTGCAGTGCCCCAGCCCCGTGGTCCCTCAGTCCCTCTCCATGCTCACTCCTACGTGGGGCCCTCTATCGTCGCTCTCCAGTCTGCCTGGACGCCCCTCCCTGGATTTCCCCTGACCGACTCCTTCTTGGGATCCATGTTTCAGATCACATGACCCCCTCTCCTCGGAGAGCCCTTCCCTGACCACCCTCTACCGAAGGGTGTTTCCCTTGACGCAGTTTTATTTCCATCAGAGTGCTCATTGCTATCTGAAATTATCTGGTTTATTTTTATGTGTTTGGTTTCCTCCAACTAGAATACCAGTCCTTTTCATGTTCCAAAACTATCACAGTCTTTTATCTACTTGTTTTCTGTTTCTGTCCCCTACTTAACCGTAAGCTCCAAGAAGGAGAGCCTTATCCAGTTCACGACTCTATTCCGCTTGCTCTTAGCACAGTGCCAGGCACAGAGTTGATGCTTATTAAATATTTGCTAAATGAATAATTGAATGAATGAATGAATGAATAAACTCCAAACGTGCCCACAAAATGAAGCTGGCTCATGGAGAAAAGTGAATGTGACATTAATCGCCATTACCATGAATACAGAATAGAAACAGAGAAGATCCAATTTGCACAAACTGGATCATACCTGGATTTCTGTACTTGGCTCTGGTTACCACACTGCCAAAGGGACCAGCACACATGAGGGGAAACTTAGAAAACCAGAGATGATCAGCTACAGAAACAAGAAATCCTAGGAAGAATATTGTTGCCATCTTTTAATATCGAAAGGGCTATGGAGAAAATGAGGGGATTGATTTAGTTTGGAGCCCTAAGTCCATTGATCTGAACCCAGATCAATGAGTATGAGTTTGATAAGAGATAGATTCAATATAGGAAGAAAATGGTCTTTTGACAGCCAGCATTCATAGCGAGGGACGGGACTACCTTAAGAGGTGGTGAGCTTTCCAACTAAGCAAGTGTACAAGTAGATAACCACTTGGCAAGGATGTTGAGGAAGAGATTCAAGCAGCAGAAGATGGCCTCCAATATCCCTTTCGGCCTTGAGATGTTTGGGGGTTTGTGATATAGAGGGATTGAGTCAAGAAAAAATTTCTGGCTAACAGGAGTTTTAGAATTTACTTATCTAGCCACCCTGATAGCAGAAAATATCACCAAAACCAGGTCTACAAATGAAGCGGTGGGAAGATTAGCTGAGAGGTATCTCATGGGCTTGAAGCCATCCCAGAGACACACCGCACAGCTCACTGGATTTGAAATCCGTTGTCTCTGTGTGACCATTGAGAACACGGGGCTGCCAAATATGATAATGATCCAAAAAGATGCTTCCATTTCCAGGAGAACATAACCCACACTCCCTATCACCCAGTAGCTAAGATGAACCTGGGTTTGCTTTCTGAAATTCTACCTCTTCCTCACCGGGAGGCCTCGGGCAGAGAAATGAACCCCTCCAACCTGTGACCTCATCTGTGAAAATGATTTCATTTAAAAACCAGGGAGGGAGGACTCGAACCAAGAACGACACAAGTGTGGTGATTAATGAACCTCGGTGACAGACCCACATTCACTATCCTACTCTGTCTTATGCACAAGAACATCTGCATAATACAAAGTAAAAAAGAAGGGGAGTTTAAAATAGTACCAACCTCATGTAATAATTGCAGGGCTTAACAAGATCATCATCATCATTATTATTACAGGGAATTTATACAAATCCTAGTCATTACTGTTATTACCAGGAATGTTTAAATATCCCATTGAATCATCCCAACTGCCCTCCGAGATGGCGGTAATCGCCATCTCCCCTCGGTAGATCAGGAGACTCAAGCTCACAGAAGCTGAACAGATCCCGCATCAGGCGCAGGGTGGCAACTCGGTCTGAAGCCGGTGATCTGACTCCGCCGTGGCAGCTGCTTTCATTACAAAAGGAGCCCCTCCTGTCCTACTTGGTTGATGTCTACATGGTTCCGACATCAGTTACTCATCTACAGCTGTGGTTTCCCGGCTCCTTTCTCAGTAGCAAAATCATTGTTTTTTTGTTTGTTTGTTTTCTCAAATACAGCTTTTACTGAGAACTCCAGGAAGCAAGACCTCAAAACGCCCAACAGCCCTCTGGCTGAGGTGGGGATGGGGGCCCAGCAACCAGGCCCCTTGATTCTAGGGTGGCCCTTTGAAGCACCTTTGGGTCTATGAGCAGAGTGTGAAAACCCCCGAGTGAAGCCAGCAGCAGCAAAAAACAAAACAAAACAAAACAAAAACGCTAAACTCTGAGGATTCCATTTAAGGACAGCCTCCCTTGCATAATGTGTGTGGTGGGGGGGGGGTGTCCTGTGTCCACCACATGTGATCCTCCTTATGGACTCTGAGGTGGACCAGGCAGGGCACATCATCCTCGATTTGCAGATGAAAAACATCAAGGCCAAATGGAGTTAAGCAACGGGCCAAAGGTGCACCAGTTCACTTTTGGGCCAAGTGCAGACTGGAAGTAGAGTCTGTCTCCATTAACTCAGTGTGACCTGGCAGAGAAGGTGCCATCTACTGGAAATTGCCACTGACCCTTGGTCCACAAAGTGGACAATCAGCTTCTTGGCCACTGAAAGCTGAGCACAGCCCCAAGGGCCCCTGCCAAGGCCCTGTCCCAGAGCAGATGGCAACGGGCAGGGGCAGGGGGCTCAGTGCCACTGGAGGGCTGGACAGCAGGATTTTGGCAGTAGATGGAGCATTCCCATCCCAGCCATGTCATGCTGAGCACAGGGCAGGATAAGCAATAACAGCCAAAGTGCCTTCCACCTTCATCTGTAGACCGAGAGGGGACAGCAGGTAGTGCACACCTGGGGAGCAGTTCCGCTTTGTCTCTCTTCCTAGCTCTTTCATAGAAATCCCTGAAACCAGACACAGTTGATAATTGCCTAAATGGTCCCCCCGCCATAATCTCTGAGCTGACCTGGAACATGTGTTGGAACAGGCGACACTTGATTATCACTTAGTCTTTAATTAGCACTTAATTATTAACTCTTAATCCATCTGTAAAATGGGGACACTAATACCTGGTTCACAGGGACTCTGGGAGGATTAATTAATGTTTGCAGCCCACTCTGAGGATGCCAAACATTGAACGGAGGCTCAGCAGTGGCACTGATGACCGTGGTCCTTTATGTGCTTTTCCTAACGAGCTCTCTCCTTCCTCTCCTTGTGAATATCCATCCCCAACAATATCTGCCCAACATGAAGCTCTGTGTTTCCCAGACACAGGATTTGCCATCCAGGAAAAGGGTTATTTACAGCCATCTTCCCGCACTTTAATTATCTATTATGCCCTCTGAATATGTCAATGCCTTCCCAGTAAATATTTTGATGTGCGCTCTTGCTGCGGCTTCTGTGGAGGCTGAATGGGACAGCTGCTCCCTGTATTAGGGAATTCCAGATGTGCTTTAAAACCACCAGACTCATCTGTGCCAATGCCTAGCCTTTGGGGGTGGGAAAGGGAAAATATCATGCAGTTGCCTCCAGGGAAAGCCATGGGCATCTGACCCTCAGCCCAGGCCAGCATGGGTTTTCAGGGTCCTCAGATCTACATCTGGGTTGCCTACGCAAAATGAAAAATGTTCCCTTAGTGGGCTGGTAAAGAGGCAGCAGGAATACAGCCCTGGTCTGGCCCTTCACCCTGGTAACTTCAGGACCCTAGTCACCTCCCCTATAAAGATTGGACAAAGGACCACAACAGGTGGAGGAAAAGCCTACAGCCTTTAGGGTTTAACCAGACTGAACAATGGGCCAGAACGTTCCCCCAGAAGGTTGGACCTCAGCTCCTCCCACCTCCCTTGATGCCAGCCCCAGAGGGGGACACTCACTCTTCTTGGAAGCTGAGCCTGTTGTCTCTTGGAGTCCCAGCCATGGGGGTGGAGAGCTGTTCCTTCGAGGTCCTGGGCTTCAAGGCCTCAGGCAGGCCTTGAACTCTTTTCCAGATTTCATGGCAAGTCTTGTCTAAGCTGTCTTGGGGTGTGTCCTGGTGGATCCAGATGTATCTGGGGAATGGGCCCAGGGCAGAGGGCCTCTTGGCCACCAGGGCCGAGGATAAAGGGAGCCCATTCCCACTGGCCATCTTCCTCCTCTCTTTCCGGAAGCCTCTTTGTCCACCCAGGGCTCGAAGACAGGGGGACCATCCACCACCACCCCTCATTCACCAGAAAGGGAGTTGAAGATGGGCAGAAGCAGGTCAGTTCTGTCTGGCTGTTGCTTCAGCAAGGTGACTATGTTCAGAGGCCTTCGATTTGTGTGTGAGTGGTGGATGGAGGACAGCTTTCTTTTGGGGAGGGGAAGCTTATTTTGATTTGTTTTTATTTGCTCTTTCCTGGCTTTTGCCCCCCTCCCCCTCTCCCTTAGAAGAAAATACTTGAAAGTCAACAAAAACCAGTAGCTTAGTAACCGTGGGATCCCCCTGAGCTCAGGAACCAGGCGCCTGGGCGGGCAGAATGACATCTGGGAACAGCTGGAGGGGGAGTGCGGGCTCTCCCCACAGTCCCTGGCACTCCCCCGTCGCGATGTGCCCGTGACACCTTGCGGCGCCTGCGGCTCAGCCCATTCTCGCCCGCCAAGCCGCGCGGATGGCTGGGCCAGGGCCCGGCACTGGGCACTGTGCTAGGCGCCGTGGGGGCGGGGGCCCGCCATCAAGTTCTCAGCCGGGCCTTCCCAGGGACCCCCACGCACCCCGAGGGCCAACGGCCCGCCCAGCCCCGCCTAGCTCGGCCCCCTCCCCGCCGCCCCTGTCGCCCTCTCCAGCGCTGCTCTGCCTCGGCGGGCAGGAAGACCCCAGGGAGGGCGGCCCGCCCCTCTGTACCCCGGCCCGGCGCTCCCAGCAGACACCGGCGGCGCGCCCCGCCCCAGGCTGCGCTCGGCCTCGGCCAGGGGCCCCACGCCTCAGCAAGGGCGCTGTCTCGGCAGGCCGCGCAGGGCGTGGCGGCTTGGGCCGATTTGCTTGCCGGTGGCGCCCACACCCTTCCCGTCCAGCTCCGTAATTCCCCTGTGGGTTTCAAACGTAACGGCTCCGTGCGCGGGCCGCCCTGGGTTCGGTGCCCAAGGCGCCCCGGCAGGGTGGGGGTGGGGGCCCCGAGGACCCCGGAGCGCTTGCCCCTGTTGGAAGTCAAGGGCGCCGCGCCCCCGCCGGTCCGTGCGGAACCTCAGCGCCTGCCAAGGGCCCCTGGCGCTGAATCGTGTGATCTTACCCCAAACTGCCATTGTATTGGCCGCTGACCGTGTGCCAAGCTCTGGGCTTTCTGTGTTATATTCAACGAACAAGTTCGTGAAGTTAGTACCATTGTTTACTACCGTTCAGCGTTTGAGGAAACCCAGTCTCTGAGTCAAGAAGAGGTGTGTCCAAGGCCCACTAGGAAGAGGGGAGCACCCAGCCCCCACCCCCTACGCCGGCCCTGATCCCTTGCTCTCAGCCTTTGAGATCCACCAGTCCCTCCTGAGCTGGGTGCAGCGGGTCCCCGGGGTGGAGGGTGAGCCGGTGGGAGTGGGGTCAGGGGCTCAGGTGCAGAGAGAAGGGCTAAGTTAGCAGTTTGCGCCCAGTGGGCTCCCCCTTCTCACTGGATGGGCTTCATTAAACTCCTAACTGACACAGAGCATTTGCCTGCCCAGGGGTCTCTGGTCCCATGAGTCAGTCGTCGTTCCTCCGGGGTTTCACCCAGAAAAGGGAGAGCCAGATCACTGGGAAGAAGAGTGGATGGGAACAGACCAGAGCCGGTTGAACCCGGACACTGCCACCTCCTAGCTGTGGGACCCCAACCACTTTTTTAACCTCTCCCACGCTCCTTCCTTCTTTCATTCCCCAGGATTGACTGAGGACCTCCAGGTGATTGCTGGGCACTGAGGAAGCATGCAGGTGAACAAGCTAGCATGGTCTCTGCTCTCCTGAAGCCTATATTCAGGGCAAGGAGACATCACAAGCTAGCAAGGCAAGTAAATAAGCACTAATTACAGATGAAATAAGGGCTCTGATGGGACAGGGGGAGGGGAATGGTGGCAGCATTAGATGCATGGACAGTTAGGCCTCTTTGAGGAGCTAAGGTAATACTGGAGATGAGACCGAAGGAGGAGAAGGAATCCTTTTATGTAAAAATGGTGTTAAAAAAAATTCTTAAGAAAACCGCATTTCCAGCACGTAGTAGGCACTCAATAAATATGTGTTGGATGAATTAATGATATATCATATGTAAAGTACCTGGCATGCAGTAGGTGCCCAATACACAACCCTGCTCTTTAGAGAAGGCCTGAGTTCCTGGAAATGTTGACTCTCAATTTTGAAATCTGAGCTTCATTCCCCTTTGATTTTCATTATAAAATTGAAGATGTTCTCCTTTGGGGAAAATTCTGAGGACCTAGACTGAATAAAATTATAGTTAAGAATGTAGAAAACCTTTTAAGATAGTGTATTTAAAGGAAAAGTGATCATTTCTGATGAAATATTAATAGTTCTGAAAATGTCACTCAGTGTTTGTGCTGCTTGGCATTTGGTTGGCTAACACCTATGCTTAGAGCAGAACGCCAACAACCCAGCACTGCCCAGGCCACAGGATTCTGGTAAGTTAGCCAGCTCACTCACTCCTGTTCTTTCTCCCCCCACAGCAGGAGACTAGGCAACAGGGCTAAACTGGAAAAGATTGGGAAAAAAAAACAATAAAATGCAGCAGGGATATGGAACAAATATAGGAGCATGTTTCTTGGAGCACACAGCTGAGGTTTCTAGAAGATTCTACAAGAAGAAAAAATGTAAGTGAAGTAATTTGAAATAGTATAAAACTATGTCCAATATGGTAGTTGCTAAGCCACATGTGGCTATTTTAATTCTACTTTAATGTAAATTAAGTTAAAATTTTACTTCCTTGGTTACATCAGCCACATTTCAGGTACAGCTTGCGCCTTGTGGCTACCATTTTGGACTGCACAGAGAACATTTTTATGGTCATGAAACACATGGACTCTAGAACCAGACTGGATTCAAATTCTGAGTTCATGTGTTCTGGCCTTGGTGTATTAGTTCTCTAGGGCTGCCGTGACAAAGTACCACAGAATGGGTGGCTGAAACAATCGAAATTTATTTCTTCACAGTTCTGGAGGCTAGAAGTCCAAGATCAAGGTGTCTGCGGGGTTGGTTCTTTCTGAGGCCTCTCTCATGGGCTCATAGATGGCTTTCTTCTCCCATGTCTTCATATGGTCTTCTGTGTGTACATCTGTCCTCTTCTTATAAGGGCACCAGTCATATTGAATTAGGCCCCAACCCATGATCTCATTTTACCTTAATTGCTCTTTAAAGGTCTGTCTCCACTCACAGTCATATTTTGAGGTACTGGGGGTTAGGACTTCAACATATGAATTTGGAGGGACACCTTTTAGCTCATAACGTTTGGGTCTCATCCGTCAAATGGGATGATAATAAAAAACACCTGCTTTGTAGAATTGTTGTACAATTATTAAGTGATTACTTAACACATGAAAAGTCCCTAGAATGTGTGGCACATAAGACATCCATAAAAGGCTGTATATAAGTTCCTTTGTTGATTACACTGAAATGTGTGCTACTGGAGTTTCTAAGTAACCGCTTTTGTGCTACATATAGGGAGGGAGGACTTTAGCTGTACTGGGGAAGTTAGTCTGTGATGGAGGGACAGACCCAAATCATCCACTAAGCCTTTCTAGGCTTTGTTCGTTTTTGAGCACCTACCATGGGCCAAGATTGTGCAAGGCACAGGACGAGGAGACGAAGAAAACCTCTCGCATAGACATTGTTACAGGTGAGTGAAGGGAGCAAAGCATTCCATAAGTGCCTGGTATATAGCAGATGTGGGGAAAAGTGAGCTTATTCCAGTCTTGTTCAATATATGTAGTTCTGTTCCTTCAGCACATATGTATCTGTGTGCCCAGCACATGAAATGGTGTCCGTGACCACTGAATGCTTTACTTCAAGGTCTGCAAAGGGGCAGGGACCAGGCCCGTCTTTGGCACCTTGAACAGTGGGTTCAATTTGTTTCGACAAATTCTTAAATTACCTGTTACTGCCTTTATGACACTGGGCAGATTGTTTAACCTCTCTATACCTCAGTTTGCTCATCTGGTGAAACAGGGATAATACCAACTTCATAGAGTTGTTTTGCAACAGCTGAAATAATGCAGGTACGGGGCTTAGGACAGGGACCCAGTGGATATTAGCTATCAGTATTTAGAAAGCAGGAAAGCCTCAGGAAGAAGCAACCCTCCCTCCCTATTCCCCAGCCTGGCTTCCATCATGGGCACTGTCATGGCCAAGCTCATCCAGGTGGGCACAGCCTGCCCTCTGCAAAGGCCTTCATAGGCCCCAAAGCAGCTTCCTCTTGTAGGCCCTGTCCCTCATCTAACATATTTGAAACACACCCACCTCTCACCACAAATATAACTTTCTGGCTGTACAAGAAAATTGAAAGGATTTTTGCCATTTTGCTTTTGAAAAATTTTGGCCATGAGTAATTTAATTTACTGTTGGCTATGACTTCTTACTGCGCTTGGTGCCTACCTGGGAGATCTTGCACGGTAAGAAAACTCCAACCTACAAATTGTTATCAAATGTAAGGAAATTTTTATGACTACTAAATTCCACCGGCAATGAAGTTGACATAATGTTACATTTTGCATTTAATTACATATTTACTGATTTTAATGTTGCAGTTGTCTACTTTGTATTGTGGAGCTAATAAAAACATCTTTAGGCTCCCGAAAACCCATAGAGAACCCCCCTCTTCATTCCCAGGCCAACGATGCCCTAATGGGGTCAGGCTGCCCAGGGGCGGGGGAGGGGAGGCATGCATAGAGAGATGTCAGGTAAATTTCCTGAGGGACAAACCATCAGAGCTGGAGGAAGGGGAGGGTGCAGCCACGTGTCACAGGAACAGGCCTTCCTGGATATTGTCCTGGCAACTGAAGCCAGCCACAGAGCAGCCAGCCATTTCTAGGACTTTGAAAAGGACACCAGAATGCTCTGGAAGCAAAGCTATGACTCTGGCTTTTCTCTCCTGCTTTTCTTTTGGAAGAATAGAACGGCAATAGATGGCAAACCTCGCCATGGCCCAGGGGATTTCATCTCTTATTCTTGCCCCCATTCCTGACCTACAGGTGGGGAGATTGTTAAGAGTTTAGGCTGTGGTCACT